ATAGCACTGTTATTTACTTACCACGGTACTTTCATGGTCCTTCAGGTGGTGAACTTTTCAGTGGGAATCACAGCACTATCATGGTACCCGATTTCTAGCGACTTGCACCCAGTGTAAACCACGTTGTCTAGCGGTCTTGTGACTTGAAAGCTCCATCTGTCATTTTTGTAACATTATTGTTAAAATATTGTTGAAATGGTCCATTTGCAGTCATATCATAGACGATGTTACCTGATGTTAATTTTTGTTTTCAATTATAAGTGTCAAGTTGCCGTCCATAGCCTGATGAGAGCGCTGAAGAAGCCACTAGGCCGTGATTGTCACTTATTGTAGAAGTTTTAGGATCAAGCACGACCTACCCCAGATGAGCCAACATCGAGGATATCCTCCAGTAGTGAATCGCATTTGGTTCCCTGTGAAAAAAGGGTCGAATTTGATCGAGTCGGCAATGGATTCTAGAAAGAGTTGAAAAGGAGACTTAGTGGGCGTTAAGGATTTATTCGGAGGAACAACAGGACTTTGAAAAATTTCAACGTGGCTACGAAAATCACTTTTTGGGTGCTATTGTAGCAGTATATACCCGTAGCCTACTCGTTCTTTGAGTGCTATCAAGTATAAGTATAGCTCCAGGTGGGATGGAAGAAGGATGAGAATATGACGGAAACGGAGAGGAGACGCGAGTCACAAAGCCTCCAGAGGTAGAGGCGACTGGGAGGGGAACATTGAAGGAGTGGGGTGGGGAGGAAGAGGGGTATGGTGCGGCCATATATGCCCTGTGTGGAAGGGTTGGTCCAAGTGGCTCGAAACATGGGTCACCCTGCCCTCTCACTTCCAAAATGTTGCTTCTTCCTTCTCTCACTTTCTTCAGATGAGCAAACCTCCAGCACACTTTACCCTGCATGTCCAAAAGGCCATTGAGCGGGAACATAAACAGCTCTTGAAACGATAAAAATTCAGAAAATCCAAGGCATCCAAGAAGTATTTTAGAGGAATTCTGCTAAATGTCAATTGTCTGCTAAAAATACAGTGCCAACACCTAGTAAGGGTTTCTCACTTCTCAATGGGAATTCCCAACGGATCGCTGACCCCGCTCTATACTCTGGAACTATTGTTTTTTGTTAACGTCTGTGCGATGTTTTCTTCGTTTTGCGCTGGCATAGTTTTGTTTGCCTGCCGACCAAACAAGTCGTACGTCAGACGGCGATGTGCATGGAGTTGCTCATCGTAACGTCTACAAACATAGCAAGCTAGCATCTTGCGTTCGATAGTCGTCCATTTCCTCATTTCTTTTTTCATTCCTTTCATTCTTTTTCCCTTCAATTCATGTCGTCAGTTTTTAACAGCTTCATTCCTTTTTTGAATCATCTTCAATAGCGCCTCAAATTAAGTTGATGTGTTTAGTGCCTTCCGTCTACATTGCTAACGACTAATATTAACACTTGGCTAAATTTTTGACTTTTGTTTGTTAACTGCTGTTTTTGGCCGCAGTTCGCCTTGCGAATGTTTCACAAGAATGCTGGGTTGTGAACAAAACTTTCGCCCCAGGCGGGACTAGAACCCGCACCTCTCGCTTTCCGGGCAAGTGCGCTACCAGTTACGTGTTTGTTCACAACAAGTTTTGTTCACAACCCAGCATTCTTGTGAAACTTGGCAGAATATTGCAGTTTTACTCTGATATAATTGATGACACAATTACTCATAAAATGATTCTTTGTTGAAATTAATATATTTATACTAATTTGTTGCCATTCGCCGAGATGAAGAAAAACCAGAAGAATTTTTCCATGACGGTTTCTGCATTTTACACGGGAATTTGTAGATGTGTATTGGGGTTAAGGCATACTGTACTGCCGTGAAAATACCAAAATAAAATTTTTGAGAAGTGCCCATTTTAATGTCTTGCTGGGCTGTTTACAGACCTAAAATGGTGTTCCAGCCGTCCTAGATTTCATTTCAAAGCACTTTTCAAAGGATCCTTGACGCTGCGCTGTTTACTGTAAACGCTCTCTTCGCAACACTTGTTTTTTATACAGTACACCGTGTGGCAAAATATTTATTCTTGGGATGGCCAATATCGAGGATTTCTCGACGCGGGGTCGTATTTTGCTGTAAGGAGAGGA